TCCTCGCTTTTCATCAGTCGTGACCAGGCCGAGGCTCGCTTAACTGAGGCTGACTGCTGGCAGCCAAGCTCCAACACCGGGAGCATCTGCTGTGTGTGTGTGCGGTCCCCAGCTACCCGTCCTGGCACAACCTGACGCTGAGGAAGTCTCCTGGTTGGCTGCGGGTTAACATCCACAAGAGTGCTGATGATGTTCCAAGTCACCAGCAGCCCCCCTGACTGACTGACTGACTACCTGGACAATTCTCTGTTTTTTCCCCCCAGCTCGAGTGTAAATTAATACTCACTTGGACTGCAGAATGGCAAACGAGCCGTAAAACATTGATTGTATAACAGGGAGGCAGAAGATGTGTTTGCCCAGGGCGGTCACTCAGGTCGGGTACTTTTCCTTCCAATGATCCCTGTGTGTCTCCGAGCTTCAAATGATCTCTCCACACTGCAATGGTGCTGAAAGACAGTGCAACACGATTGGCTGGACCGAGCGGAACTCGGCGTTCTGCAGGGGGAGTAGCAGTGATGCATTCACGGACATAGGAAAACTCTAAATCGGGATTTCAAGTCTGAACTGATACAGTACAGCGCATAACAGGAAGAAATGCAATGATGTGCAAAAGTACCACTACTTTTCTTAAATGTATTTCTTGTTATATATTTAACATTTTTACACAAATTATTATGGGAAGCTTAGGATACCCAAGAGATTTCACTCGATATAGCTAATGGTACAGAAATGTTAATCCGTTTTTGACAGATGTGCCAAAACAATATCTAAAATAATTTCAGTGTGACAATTGAATTCATTATTCTGACTCAAGATTTTTGTCTGATTTAATCTCAGACCAGTGGCATTTTTAGATAAGGGTATCAAGGGCAGTTGCCCAGGACAGCATCAGCAAGGGGTGCTTGAGTGCCCAAGTAACAAAACAAAGAAAGGCTTTATTATCTCTAAGTTGCACTGTGAATTAGTTTAGTGTTGTATTTTTGCATCTATAGTATATGAGGAGTTGGCACCCCCTGTGTTGAGTAGCCACACATATTATGCCATATATGACTGGCCTGAGTCCAAAGTCAAGTGAGGCATAAGCAGGACGTTTGAGAAAATTACATAATCACAGATCACAATTTCTGTTAAAATTTTGTATCATGAAAGCAATCATGGAAAGGAGGCGATGTAACAGAAACCAGCATGCCCCAGCTACCTATCCTGTTGCTTGTTGTGTGTGCTTATTGTTTATGTGAATATTTGGGTGGAGCAGGAAGGAGTTCTGCATCAGAGAATGCTGTGGGAATGCTATCAGTAGACAGCTCAAGATAAAGTGCCCTCATGCGTAGTTTATAGAACCTGTGGTCTGAGTTTTAAACATTAGATTGGCGATACTTTGTGGAACAGAAGGAAGTGTCTGCAGGTTTTATGACAAATGGGAATGACTTGATCCATAATGTTGGGGACAACGTGTCTAAGGTCATCTTCATCCTCCAATAATGAATATTTGTGGACTCTTAAATATTACTGAGCTCACTTTTATGGCATCATGCAATTTAACTTCCAATTTTAAAAACTGTTGATAATGTATAAAGACAACAAACTAACATAACTTTTATATTAGTTTGGGGGGG